AATATGTAGCCATGTCCATTGTGTTCCCGGTTGGCCGCTAAACGCATTAGTATGCTGCTTTCCTGGTTATGCCATACTAGAAAATTCGAGGTCCTTCCTTAGGAGGAACAAATACCAAAAGAAAAAGGTTACTTTCACGAACTAATCGACGAAAGGTATGAGCATAACCGTATCTTCCCTCCCGAGAAATTTATTCCGAATTTCACTTCTGAATTTCTAGAAACAACATACGGCTGTGTAACCGTTCCATGCTCCAACGACCATGGAACTAACGACTAACAGAATTGAGCAGAAATTGAACAAAGGAGTGGATGCAAGAGGTACCCTTCATTAGCTCGTTTTCAACGACTAGAAAAAAAGGGAATTGACCATCAGGGCCAGTGACACTACTCAGGATCGGCATATTTCCACGGCCACGTCACGGTGTCGAATGGTGGTAGGGCGAGAATTTGCGGAGTGTATTAGTAGGCCATGACGAAAATACCAGCCGGTGCGGATAGTAATAGCGAGCATCTAAACGGCATTGACCGCGCCCGAATCCGCGCGCGGGTCCGTTCCCCGTTCTCCTCGTTCCTCACGATGCTCGTTAAAGTCACATTTAGAGGTGGACTTTACGGGGTGCGTTTTCAAAGACGCATTTAGGCACCGATGAAACATCTTTGTAGCCACAACGTGCAACCCGTTGCGAGGCCGCGAAACCAGAGACCGTGAAATTATGCAAAAGCGAACGTGTAGCCAACACGACCATTTCCTCGCCTCTCCGTTTCTGGTTATCGGATGAAACATCCCTGTAATCGATGCGTTCTTCTTCTTCTTCTTTCTGACACGTTTCGATGGAATTTTTAGTTATGTGTGTGGTTGTGCTGATTGTTAAAGTCTCGTTTCGTCTGCAAAAGCTTTTACCGATTAACATCGAGAGAAAGTCGAATATTTTCTAGAGTGCTAATGACTCGTTGGGAAAATACTGTATACGTACATAATTATAAGACAGAATAATGTTTCACATATAGATGTTTCGTGTTATTTAGCGAGCTACTTTTTGGGTTAATTCCTGTGATTGACAGTAACAGAAATTGTAACATTAGTCACCATATTAGAACACCTAATTTTAATATAGGTATCTTTATTAAACTATAAATGTACAAAGGAGAACATAAATCGGACAAACATTGTATTAGAGCACAAAGAACTTTATTTACAGTAAATTTTATCATGAAAAAAAAAATATAAACACATACTGTAAAAGCTTCAAATTTTCTGTTCACAGAAGAGTGTATACCTGAACGTGTCCAATTTGAGGTTATGGAAGCTGAAAAACAAATAGGCGAAAATTCAAGATGTACACATGTATATTTAAGAATACGTCCAACGCCGTATTTTCCTGGCCGATTATACCGGAAGCGCGATAGTTCACCGAGGCAAGGGAGCACATAGGCCACGCCTAGGTATAAACCGAGTGAAATACATGCGGGGCTAGGTAGAAAGGTCAGCCAGAGTATATTCTCTCCTCGGTTATATGTATATCCCGGTCCCCGTCCTACCTTTTTCTCTCCTCTTTTTTTTTTTCTTTTTATTTAACCATCGACCCAATACGCCGCTCCCATGTTTGTCAACTACGTACGCCCCCATTGTCATACGGTGGTGGTTCCTAAGCACGCTGACACGAAACGATCGAGACCTCCCTTTTCCCTTGTCGATTTTCAGGTCCAACCGTGCCAAGATACAGCCAGCACGCATTTACGACCAATAAATGTCTCTTTTACGAGCGTCATCTCGCGTGTACGAACGTTTTCGCGTGCACGGCGATAAAAACGCGGTTTCAATGATCCAAACACTCATTAACAATAATTAAAATGGCCCTTCGTTACGCTATCGCGTTGCACTTATCAAATTGATTTAAACGATACGTGGAAATAAGCAATTATATGGATTTATTGTATAATAAAATTGTGATTCGATATTTTCGGGGGAAATGTTACAATTTTCGAAATGATGGATATTTATTAACCTGATCGTTAATTTCACATTACCCCATGTGTACAGTGAACCTGAGCGTTCTTATCTGTGCTTGCTAGTAAAGTAACGAGCAACGGCGATAATTACTGATGAACTTCGAATGACAACTTTTCCTTTTGCTCGTGGCGTCTTGACTTGACGGGAGACACAGGAGCGATTAAGAAATAGCGAAAGAAATAGAATTTCCACGTGGCGGGTTCAACGGTTCGCCAGTTATTTCTTGGAGCAGTGGTGCAGCCACGTAGGGTGCATTAAAAATATATATACATATACATGCCTCGTTCATATGATTTCACGATGAAAAATCTTCACGAGAAAGACGTACTTTAAAATAATAAATAATACGCCATTTTAAAGTCCAAAAAAATTCACGGTAAGATTTGCACACATTTACTGTAACGAACATATAAAACCAGCGCCACGATAAAAATCTGAACGACTTTTTTCCACCGTTCGCTAATTGGGTCAAAAAAAAAAAAAAAACGGAAACTACCAGTAATTGTCGACGATTACGAGTGGTGAATTAATGAGCGATCCTGGCCGGGAGAACGAGCAAGGAAAAGCACCAAGAAACGTAACAAAATTGTAGCGAAGGACAAACAGGCCAGATAACCCGAGTATACCTCGGTTAGCAACACGATCGTCCGACTATTACAAGAACGATAACAAGCACGTACATATGTGCCCGCCACGGTATCTGGGGTTATCGTTTCTTTTTTCTCTCCTTTCTGGAGCCAACTGGGAGGGAGTGCTAACTGCGAAGGATCAGAGAGTGGACCACGGGTCATCGGTAGAACCAACAGACCACCCGACTAACCATTCCTATTTATTCCATTCCACCTTTAGTATTTTTTCTCTTTTAAAATGATCTCTGAAAATAATCTCTTCTTAAAATGAATCAAAAATATTGATCGTTTGTTTTTCAATTAAAAAAACATACATAATTTTGTGCATAGAAACTCGAAGAAATGTAAATAACCTTTAAACGAATTATAGTTGTTGTGAACGCACCCTATAATCTACCAATGATTTAAGTACATTAACATATTGCTAACCTATCCGATTAATTTAACGTACCTGCTGTATCACCAGGATAAATAATATCTCATTTTATTAATACAAAATTCTTTACAAATCGTTTTAGCAAAAATCCTAAAAATCTTATAACCTATTTAAGTGTAATTCGTTCGATTGTCTACGTATCAAAATCCCTACTTCTTTACTAACCTAAAAACAGCACACTAATCCTTCATTAACGCTCCACATCGAAGCATAGAAATTGCAGGAATGATCGACCGGCGCTCCGTGTCAACCCCTTTCCGGCAGGATTGCGAAACAAACAAGGGACATTATATTGGATGGCAGAGAAACACTTTACACGCAAATATCGTCGCAGTTCACCACGTCGAGGGTCTCCGTATCCGCTGACGTCACGTCGACCCGACAACCCCGCCGAACTTTGCGCCACATTAACATGCCGATTTACAAACGTTTATATACGTTCGATTTCCGTTCGACGATACGTTTTCTAATCAAACGACATCGGGAATGAAGGAACGGGACCAGTTGCTAACTAGCATCATCAGCGCTACTTACATCGAGTATTTTCATTTTAATTATCATGAACAGCTGTTTGAAGATGGCACATAGCAATTCGTCTTCTCCATCAGGATCAGATATTACTATACATACAAATTCGAAGCTTCCTTTTCCTACATATTATCCTACTGTTGTAATTCACCCCCATATAAAATAAGCACCAAATCACTTATTGCTCAACGCATGTTTTTTAATGTTTTCCCACATGACATGAAGGTTAGGTTTTCAAAGAGCGATTAAACTTCACTTCACTATTCACGTGTTTATTGTTTATTTTTCATTTTTTTACGTAATAGATGCATTAATTATTATTATTAGTCTCGTACGTGTGAATAATCAACAGTAACAACTGGCCTTAATTAACCCACGATATGATCCGTCGTCGAAACTTGTTATTCAGAAAGTGACGGGGGATAATCGTTTTATCCTGCAAGGTATGGCGGCGTTATCGACGCATTAACCGTCGATGATAGGTTATTAAGTTTGGTTACAAAGTAACCTTGGCGTGTGTATTTGTAATGAAAACGACTGAAATGCTTTATCTTTGAGTAGAAATGAACAATAGAATGATTTAGCGAATAGTACGGTACTGCTGCATTAACGTTTAATGTCTTATAGCTAATTTAGTATGGAAGTGTGAGAACTGGAACTGAAATGCTTTGTCAGTGGGAATAGGGGTAGGAATAATTGAAAGCAAAAATAAATATGTATGCATACGGAATAGGAAACGTGACGAAGTCCAATATACTTACATACGTAAGTACGTTTGATTTAGTGCCCTGTAAGATGACTACTTTTTCTGAAATTTTAACCCGGGAAAGGACACCTGATAATATTGAACAAATACTAGAATACTGAGGACTGTCCACAATGAAAGATATTAGTGCACTACAAACGAAATACAATTTATACCTTTCTTGCTATTTAAATTGAAATTTGACGATAATTCAAGTCTGTAAGTTTTGTATAAATGAACAATTTTTTCAGCACAAAAATACAAACACAAAAACACTTTAAACAACAAAGGTAAGCAATAAAGAAATAACTAATTATTTAAATTAAATCACGTTCTTTAACTACAGAAGTGCATCACGAAATGTTTTGTGACATTTTAGTGCTGCCCTAATACGGAGATTTAATCAGTTACATAACAAATTGTAAATGCTCAGTCGGTAATTACTCGGTGGATAAGTAAACTCGATCGATGAAGTTCGAGTGTTTCTAACTTGCAATACACGGTGCATAACAACGTAAAGAACAACCTATAAAAAGTAGTTTTGCGATATTTTGTATTTTGTACGGATTGAATAGATAAATACTGCAAGATGTTATTGAAAAAATGTGTATTTAACAAATAAGTATAATTATATGAAGTAATATTTGATCAAAGTGAATATAAGTGATTAAACCTTTATTTTTTCATAATATTGTTTTTTTTCTATAACAGAAATCAGTTTAAAATGTACTTTAATGTGGATCTCGATTTTTACGTATTTTTCTTAGGTAATAATTTTTCAATGTATGGTGTGTGTTTATGGTATCAGAACAGGGTATTTCATCATCTAAATTTGTATCCATTTCTGATAAAATATCTGTTTTTGCAATGTTACTAACTAATTGGCTTGTATTATTGATGTCATAAAATCTTTCGTACTGTGCTACAAAGCTAAATTCCTTTAACCTGTCTGAAATTGATAATTGAAGAGCATTTGTAGCTACTTCGTATGCTCTTCGCAGAGACTGTTTATATTCAGTTCCATTGAATTTTGTCTGCAATAAAAACCATTGTTATTTATAGTATAATTAACTTGAATAAAAGTATATTACCCTTTTGACAACTCGACTATATTTATTTGCGACAAATGATTTAAGATTTAGTTTATTGACCCAGGCATTCTCAAGTTTTTCTTCATTGAAAAATGTGACATTGTATCTGATCTACAAATTATAATCATTTTATTACTGTATGTAAAATAGTGAAGTCATATAATGAATAAAATGTAGATTTACAGGCTTAAGTGAATTTTTGGGCAATTCATAGTATGTGAAAGTCTCAGGACAATCGTTAACTATACCAGGCCACCATGGGAAACCACTTATATGTGCCCAAACAATGCTACCTGCATTGTAAGTATTTTCAATTAAGTCTTCTTTAATAGCATTTGTAGTAAGCTGTTCTGGTATATCACATGATGCCATTAATTTATCTGAAATCAAACAATAATGTTAAGCACATATGTACATCGTAAAAAGCCTAAAACATTTCAAGAATATTTACAGACCAAAATTCATTTCACAATACCATTTTTTTGGTACATCTAGTGGATCATGATATTCCTCGACATATCTCCATTTCTTACACTTTTTTCTGCAGCATTGAATCCAGAGACCAACATCCCTTCTTTTCTGTAGCCAATATAATATGTCTTTCCAATTAAGATTTCTATCACACTGAGACAATACTTCAACATTTTGATTGAATACTGATGAACCAAAAGCAAAGTACAACACGTTTTAAATTTGCATAAATTTTACTCATTATAAATCTCTATCACTTTATAAAATGGTATTATTTATATCATACAATCTTATTACAATCTTTTCCTTAATCATAACATACTTATATTAACTAAATTAACAGCTAACATACACTGTTATACGCGTAAATGTGTTAATTTCTCTTTGGTGTCGGTATTTTTAGTTTTCAATGTGTGCGTGTGCATCTTATCATTCTTTGTACACCTACCTACGGAAAATACTTGTGCTACATAGTTTCTGTTGTTCGACACGTTTGTAGACCTATTTTCCACGACGTTTTTATCGTTCTCTTTGTCGTTCGATTCCACTTTAATCTTGTCTAATTTAGTGCGTAATTTACGTATTTGCTTTTGCGAGGAATCGAATCTATTGCATTTAGCTGTGTGCTGTTTATAAAATAACGTGTCATTTGATATGTTAGATTCTATGTGTATGCCGCTGTCCACGACGCTATGAGCATCCAATTCATCTTCGGTGTACTGTAACTTTTTGGGCCTTAAGTCTCCCTTCTTGGACTGTTTCTTACATTTTATTGGCGCGTTTGGCGTTACCGCATTTTTCCTTTCCATCGGCGGCGTATAATACGAATCAGACGAGTTTTCGTCAAATGGTTTACGGGACAAGTTGAACTGTTAAAAACGCGATATAAATATAATTTTCATTTATTTAAAAAAGAATGATTAAAAATTAAAATCCATTATGATACCTGTGATAACAAATTTGTCGACGAATTGGGATACTCTACTTGCCCGAAGTCCCATTTTTTAAACAGTAACGTAGGAGATGGTTGATTCAGGTCCGAGTGTTCAAACAGAAAATTTTTACTCTGCATATTGTTTCGAGTGTTTTTTTGTGTGAAATTGAAGTTTGAATGAATACTTTTTATAGAAGAAAAAACAGAAACACAATTCTCAACTATGTTCGGAAAAATAACACTGTGCCACGAAAAAGTGTAACGGTTTGTTCTTTTTAAAATAAAAACAACGCAATTTATCAGAAAAAAAGGCAAGCCGGCGGAATAACGAAAAATTACGCGTGAATAAGAAACCCGCTGCGTTTGTAATGGGGTTCACACGGCGTTTTGCACGGTATTTGTTGCAAAGCAACGCGAACCAATTAAAATCTAAATTTTCTAACAAACGACGAATGTATAAAGTGTGTCGTTTAAAAATACGTTTAAAATTTGTTTACTTTGAGTAACGTTGAATGGTTTTGATTGGTTAATATATATTTAAATTAATTGTATCATCGTTGAATGTAACATAAGATTAAAAAGAGAAGTTATTTTAATCTACTTGAAATTTTACAATTACCGCCAATGCTGTGATTGGCCAACCGGAATTTCGTCGCGCGCAGTTTTATTCTAATTCGCTGTGTGCGTCGTTCGCGATTCAAAATCTGTCAGTTATGTTCGTTATGGATTTGTTGAACTTCGTTTGTCTGTGCTAAGGATTTAAAAAATATTAGTGCATTTTTGTATGTATAAAAAGTATATCACAATTATCACGTAGTTATGTTTGCATTTTTTGAACTAAATATATCATTGATGTGTGTCAGTTGATGCAACTACGTCATTTTTATTATGGTAAATGAGTAATATTTTTAATCATTAAATGGTTCATTGTATATTTCGTAATATAAACTAAGGACATTAATATAATTAGAATAAAATTAATTCACACACGTGCTTTTCCAACTAGTAGTAACGTATGAAATGTCTTAATACAATGTGTTTCAATTGTTAATAATTTTGCTGAACATTTTCTTTATGCGTAATACAAATTTGCAAATTGATAACGATAGTTTGTATCATTTCTGTTATTCAAAGCGTATAGAAATGTGTAAAAATGACAGAACAACTTTGAGTATTTACATGTATATATAGATATACGTGTATGTATGACAGTCAGTAAACGTTATATTTATCGTAGCATTTTTGGAGGCTTCGAATAATCAAATTACGCGAATTTTCGCTACTTTTACATGGTTTTTCGTCTGTTTAATATTCGAGAAATTACTTTTACTCGATCAAATTCTGTTTCGGGACCGAAACTTGCCGAAGTTGCGTTCGGTTCATTCGGGTACCCACATAGAAAATGGAGTTTGAGCAAAGCAAGCAAAGCAGCTATTCGCCATCGTTGATGGGCGCACAACGACAGTTCAGAGCTGGGTGCATCATTTATCTCGTGACGAACGTGAATTTTTATGCTTAATGAGAGCAAAAAGTACGTTGAAGTGAAACCAGAGCCGTACACGAAACGTTTTAAGGTAAGTTTGTTCGCCTGGCAGGGCATTTAAGTGGAGAAATACGGGAGAAAAACTCAGGGCATTGGCGACCATCCGTTTACAGAACGCATAAACCATAATCTACGCATGCGCAATCGCGGGAACAATAAATTTACCCAGAGAACGGAGTATTCGTGATCGTAAAGAGTTCGCGGGACAAATGATTGGTTTAGCCGCTAAAAACGTATTACCTTCAAAATTGTGAACGTAATGCGAACAGAATTTTATGTAACAAATACTTGAACGATAATATAATCTTTTTTTAGTGTATAATAAAAGGGGATTACTTTAAATTATTATTGAATGTCTTTTCTTTTATGTTTTTGATAACATTTATACGGTGTCGCTTCGAAATTTTGCTCTCGAACTTTTCGTTTTTTATGTAGGATTTACTAAAGGGATATTATTTGAATATTGTGTGATAATTTTGCAATTTAGTTTGAATGTTATTCACGTTCTTATCTTAGTTTTATTATGATGAATTAAATTATATAAATATTAATGAAACTAATATTTTTAGTAGTGAAGGAAATAAAATATTTAATTTTTCAAACTTTTCTTCAGATTCCACAAGATGTCATCTGCACAAGTTGATCGTTCCACCAAAGTGGGAAATATTACTAAAAAGGAGAATGAAAAATCCAGAAAAACTTTTAATTCCTCCCATAAAAAGCACAAGCATGAGGACAGCCGTCATTTCAAATTTGGAAGAAAGCGTCTACAAAGCTTTACCAGCAATGGTAAATTTTTTCCACCATATAAACGTAGAAAGAAGGAAGGTGTGATTATTCCACCTACTAAGTTTCTACTTGGTGGCAACATATGTGATCCCTTAAATTTAAACAGTATGCAAGATGAGGAAATAAATAGAGCTATGAATGCTGTTACACCTAAGTCTAGCCCTTTACCAACACCCAAGCACAAAAAGGAGGTTATTGAAGTTATAATACCACCAAATATCTGTGATCCTTTGAATCTAAGCAATTGCAATGACAATGACAATGATGAGTATGAGAAACAACTTATATCTCCAACAAAAAAGGGTTCTAAAAGGAGAAATAGAAAGAAAAAACGGGCATCTTCTGGTTCTGGGAACGATGCAAGTGATTTAATTGAAATTAAAACTAAGGATTGTGATACTACTGATATCGCAGAACCCATAGAACAAAGTGCTCCAGAAAATGTTGAAACAGAACAACAACCAGCACCATCAAACTCACCAGCGGACAATCAGCCTAAAGAGTCAAAACCAGAAAGTCCCCAGAAAGACAAAAATAAATTACGATTAAAGGGATTAGAAGAACCTAAAGATAAAAGGTTAAGAAAGGTAGATGTTAAGGATAAAATTGTTAGCCCTGTGATTCCTCAGCCTGGAGCATGGAAGCCGAGACCACAACATCGCCCGAGTCAGGACAAGAAAAAGAACCAAAAAATGCCAAACTTTCGAGAGAAAGACTCACGTTACCAATATGGCAACTACAACAGGTACTATGGGTACCGTAATTCTCTTCACGAAATGGACACAAGACTGACAGTATTTGCACAACGCAAACATTTATTCTTTGGGAAAGATGTATTAGACATTGGTTGCAACATTGGCCACATTACCCTTTCCGTAGCAAGAGATTTTTCTGCCCGCAGTGTAACTGGTATTGACATTGATAGAACACTCATCAATATAGCTCGAAAAAATATCAAACACTATGTCAATTGTGTACAGTCTCCTGCTGGTAATGAAGACAGCCATCATCAGGATGTAAACTTCTTCCCAATGTCTATGCCAATCAATTATGGCCCAGTTGATATTCCAGGTTTCACAAAGAATAAGAACCACAAAGGTTTCCCCTACAATGTCACTTTTGTGCAGGTAATGTAAATTATATAGATCATATAAAATTTTTAATTTTCAAGAGATGTAATTGTATTTATTTTTAGGGTAATTACGTACTCGAAGATGACTCGCTACTATGCACGGAACAACCACAATTCGACACCATCCTCTGTCTATCAATAACCAAGTGGATACACTTGAATTTTGGCGATGCCGGATTGAAACAGGCCTTCAAACGCATGTATGCTCAATTGCGCCCTGGTGGGGTTTTAGTATTAGAACCTCAAGGCTGGAGTAGTTATACCAAGAAAAAAAATCTTACAGTAAATACCTTATTTAATTCACTTTCTAAAATATATTTATTTAGTACTGTCCTAAATTCGAGTTCCGACCACACAGCTTCACTCAGTATCTCCTATCTCCTGAAGTCGGTTTTTCCAAGTGCGAAGTGTTGTCTATTCCTCCTCATCCATCAAAAGGATTTCAACGACCAATTCACTTATTTACCAAAGCTGGTCCCATTCAAGAATCTCCTGATAATTCCATAGTAAACGCTTTAAAAAGGCAAGAACGAATAGACGAAGAGAAGAGAAAAATGGAACAGAAAGAATATGAACAGAAATTGTTCAAGAAAGGAGAGACTAAAGAGGGAAACCTGTCAGAGATCAGTCAGCAAAGCAACGAGTCCATGAGTCAGTATGATCAATTGGAAAATGTCTATGCTCCAAGTGCAACTCCATGTTACGATACGCCAGGCCACAACAGCGACAATCAGCCTCCAGATGCTTCGAAAATGTGCTATATAGACGTCAGCATGGAAAATGATAAAGTAGAAGCGGAGAGTCAAGGAGAATCTAATTCGACTGAGAATCAAACGTCTCGGAAACGGAATATGGAGGTAGATGATCGGACAATAGTGACAAAGAGACCCAAACCAGAGATTGAAGCCTTCAAATCCATCACGAATGAAGGTAAAAGGAAAACAGAAGCTAAGGAACAACAAACATCACAGGAATCTGTAAATGAGAGTGGAAATAAAACAGAAGTAGAACTGAGGAAGAACAATGAATCGAATACTCAATCAGTAACAGAAAAAAATCATGCAAGCTGCCGTTCAAAGCAGAAGAATGATACAGATGAAAAAGTTTCGAGTTTTACAGAAAACAAAGAAGATTCAAGGAGCGAAGAATGGAAAGAAAAGGGAAAGGGATCGAGGAGTCGATGTGAAGAAAAACAAACCGAGAGGCAACGCTGCCAACTGACCTCGGATAACACGTAAATAAGTAGTTTCGATGCCCTCTGCGTAGAAAACGAACGGTGCTATACTACACACAGACACACTTGGGCTGCTTGGTTATCCATTTACTTGGCCGACGTTTCCTGTTTTCTCATCGTCCTTCCATCCACCACTTTTATTCTTCGTAAATATCCCAATAGGGCACCGAGCTCAAGTATTTTGAATCCGTGGCGTGATACGATTTAAAGGATAGGTAGAACAACATGTTTCATTTCTAAACTCTTGACACGTAGTCTTACTCATTTCTCTCTGTTTCATTTTCCCCATTGTTACATTTTCCATTATTTTCTGCTTCTGTTTCTTTGTTTTTATTTTTAACTATGCCGAGTAAACGGATGGAGTTCTCTTTTTGTAGGATACCTGGTGAGAGTTTCAGTGTAATTGTAATTTGTATCGGCGCGCGTCTGAATCATCGATCTCGAATTCACGAGGGAGACATTACTATTACTACTAGGTGTTACATGTGACGCAACGTGTGATACTCCATTATTAGAGAGAGAAAGAGAAAGCAAGGAAAAGAGGAGACTTGAGAAGGAATAACGAGAAAAAATAAAAGGGAAAAATTTGTAAAACCAGCACTGTACATGATAGAAATTGTATCGCTTTTAAATGCATATACAGTACGAGTGTGATAGTGAGACAGAGTATGATATCTGGCTGTGCCTGATGAGCATGTAAAGAAATTCACTTTTAAACGTGAAGAGAGGTGTAGAGAAACAGGCGAAACAAATTCTAAGTACGTGCCTAATGAAACGAGAGTTTGAGTGTTTTGCATTGCTGCTGTACTATCTGAGCACGTTTATCCCCCGCCCCTCAATTACCGTAGCGGGTTAGTCCATGGAAAACTGACTTTTTTGGCTTTACCGTGTCTTTCGAATGATGTAAAAAAAAAAGAAAGAAAGAGGAGGTAGAGGAGAAAGGATGCGTGATAAAACGATATAATAAGAGAGGAGAAACGAATATTACTCAGGTTGTGCTTCGAGACTGATCCGTGCTCGCGTTGCCATACTCGTCTTTCCTGTGTGTAAAGAACAATGTGAAAAGAAGCGAAACGAGACAGCCAGCACTGACAGTTCTCCTCGAAAATCATCCTGGTTTGGAAAGGAGCTAATTATTATTATTACTATTATTATTATTATTATTATTATTATTATTATTGTGTTAATCGTATCTGTGGATCGGGTAGGGACCTAATTTGTCGGTTTAATATTGTTGGATAATTCATTCTTTGAATTTGATTGGTTGTAGAGATTATATCGTCTGATAATCAGGCAAGAGACAGTGATTTAACTTCAATCATTGTGAACTTGTTTGTTAGGTAGAGGAAAAAAAACCGATCAATTTGTTTCTTCTTCTTTATTTTTCAATTGCCCAAACAATGGTGGTGGAAGAATGTGAAAACGAGAGAAGCAATTGTACAAAGAATGTATGTGAATAATGATGAATCTATTGAAGGAGACTTGAAAGAAAGAGGGAAAGTGAGACGTCAGTTTGGAAACCTTAGACTGTAGACCTGTAAATTTATGTAATTTTAGAGGACCCGAGCGTATTGTTTCATATAGTTGTTATTTATTTATAAAACCGAGAATCTTCGAATTTGTTGAACTTAGAGAGAAAGAGGGAGAGAATGAGAGCGCGCGTGTGTGTGCGTGCGTGAGTATGCGTGCGTGTGAGAGAGAGAGAGACACCCACACGATCGGAGTTGCCGAAAGTATTATTATATCGTTGAAGCGTGGTCACTCGTTATACGTGAGTCACACAGTATACATATACTTACGTACATAGAGAACTAGAAAAAGAGAGAATGAATGGAAATTACGTAGAAAGGATTTTTTAAAAATGGTATACTCGCGATTGTACAAAAAAAGTTCCTCATGAACGATAGAGAAAGAGAGAAAACAAAAAAAATATGAAACTCGACGGCGAAAGCTTCCAAGAACCACACGACGTACAGAGGCGGCTTTCCTTCTTGTATTATCTAGTCTGTAGAGCCACGGTTGAAGAAGAAATGGAATAATCACCACGCGACAGTCACGTTTTTAGCTGGGAAAAAAGACAGAAATTTTTGTTCTCGATTCGGAACTATCTCGCACGCTCCACCAAACATTCTTGCTCGAACGTGTTTCATGCGTGCTTACATTTGTAATTATACGTTATACTGAATCAGAGTTCCGCGCTTAATACAAACAATCGTTCGACGCGTGCGCATTTTAAACAGAAATCATTTAATAATTGAAGTCGACTGCGAATTGGAGAAAAATACGATGAGAAACCTGTTTAACCGTGATATTTCATTTAATTGCTTTTTTCCGATGCAAGTCTAAGTGACCACTAATAACATTTCAAAGAGAATTTCAACAATTGTGTATTTGTACATCGTTTTACATCGAGCTCTGCGTATGAAAACGTCTTTAAACATGAATGATACTGATACGTTTATATATTCTTCTCTTTGAATGTTCGTCGCCTTATGCTATACGATGTGCATGGGATCGAGAAGGGACGAGGAAAAGAGGAGGAAGTTCCATGGGAGAAAGGTAAACGTGGACGATCGCGAACGACGCGATAAGACAAATCAGCACAAATCGACTCCGGACACAATCACTTTTCCATGTTATGTTTGAGAGGATGAAACAGAAAATGAACCACTTAGACGCTTACCAGGAACACTCATAGTGTAAGAGATAAAATTAATAATAAAGAATCGCTTTGAGTCACCAGTGTTGTTTTCTTTTCTTTCTTCGTTATTTTTATCTGACTGAGTAATTTATTTTTCTTTATATTAATTTTATATTAAGTTCAACAATGGTAATAATGTATTCGACCAGGTTGTATCTAATGTGCAGAATTTATTGTAGTACGATAGCTTCTCTACAATGTTACGATCGTTATGCTAAAGATTCGGGGGACCGTTTGAATCCTTCTCGTTTTTGTTTCAGGACGCGTCGAGGTGGAAAATTCAGTTCTGCCTGCGACATCACGACACGTTAGTACAATAATCTACGTTCAAAATCCACTTCTTGCGTCCGCAGGTAATTTCAAATGGTCGTAAAGATTTAATTCGAAAAAAAGTATCGATGATGTCAGAGTCTAACGTATAATACGGTAAAAAGTAACGTCGTCGTTTCACTTTTATAAAATTACACAAGTGGAACGTAGGAATGTATTTAGACGAAGAATGGCTTGAAATAGCTCTGATCACCCGCAGAGAACAATCAGCGTATTCGAAAGCGCGCAGACCATAAGAAAATTTCGAACTCGACGCCATGGCAGTGACGATCCCGAGCGTAGCTTGCTAACATGAGAGATTCTTCTTTTGCATCTACTACTATGTATATACTAATAATAATATATATCTTTAATAATAACATATCGTTTAAACTCTGTATACTGTTCACTATACTTCACAAATTTTTTTTCTTTTGCTAGAAATCAATGTGAACAAGGGGGAGGATCCGACGGAGAGGTTTGCGTTGACCTGCAACAGCATAGTCTCGAAAAATCTTCAAAACGATGAAGAAAAAAGAAAACCATCGTCCCTGGTACATAGGGGTGCCTGTTTCTTTTTTTTTTGTTCATTTTTTTTTTAAATCTATCATTTCGTCGCTTAAAAACTACCAAGGGGCGCCAGCGCCCCAAAAATTCGCACGCTCTTGAACGTGCACACTTATTGTATTTATACTTCGTTCTTATCCTTTTTTTTTACTCCTACTTGGATACACATGTGACGTGTGCCTACGTTTTGTATCGCTTCTCATAAACTGCAACGTTTTTTTTTTTTCTGTAGCGTGATAACATTATCGTAACCGTTATCGCCGTGTGTATTTGACGACGCAATCACAAATGGCAAAACATCGAGGGAAGGGAAGATAGATCCTTGGTTTCTTTGTGGTTCTGTTCACGTCGATGACTGAAGTCTAGGTCTGCTGGCGTATCATGAAGAAGATTTCAATAATGTGGCAATAACGATATCATTTAAAAACGTGTACGGATATTCGTTTCATGGAGAAATATGCCCTGGAGGAATTCATGAGGTGGTTATGGATTGGTAACATGGATCGACTTCGAGACAATCGAGCGTTCTGGTATAACAATGTATCGAGTAGATCGTATCCTTCCTTCGTCGAGTGGTGCTCGTCCTCTCTGATACGTATTAAGTCACTTCCGTGGCTCATAAGAAGACGATGCTAATTCTGTACCCGAAACTGTGTTTTCGACACAGACACAAAGTGTAAGGCTGCAACAGGCTCGTCAGAATATTCTCTGAAGGCCGGAGATTGTGAAAAACAAACGTCAAACATCGTCGACGGACGTCCAAATTTCTCGTAATTCTCTTACTGGATTATTGAACAGCGTCCAGTACAATTAATAAGATAAACGTTAATCACGTTTACTGATCAGTATTAAAAGAGTTCCACGATGGATTAGGTCGTGGCGATTCCTTTGATGATCGCGTGACTAATGTGGTAGATAGCCTGGCCACCTGGCCTTAGAAGACAAAGACAAAATCCATAGCGAATGCACAGTGGTTTAGTCTACTCGTCGACTAGCTCCCATAGCATGAGAGCAGCGTCGGTTCCACCGACGGTCACGACATTTTGATCGTTGTAGAGGAATCTTGCACAGGCTACCAGAGAGCTGTATACCTTTTCTTCGACATATTCAGCTTTTGCACTAGTACAGGGGTACCTAAAGAGTCTCAGATAGCCCTCTGCATCGCCACTAACTAGCATATCGTGAGCAGCTGATCTGCTTGATGTTGTTAAAACCGTTGTTAGCGGATAGTAGCGATTGTTCCACATTCCTGTAAATAATATCATTGAGAATTAGTTAATCTTGAAAGAAACTTGGAATTTTATAACAATTTTTGTATTTACCAGACACCATGTAGCCAACCATGCAATTATGAGTGTACCATTTCACGTCTTTCATGACTAGTGGACTTTTTTCTGAGGATAACGCTTTCACATCCCCTGTAGAGTATATTTTAGATTATGTTTATGGATGATTTGAGAGTAGTTATCTATTGAAATAGGAAGAAATATTACAGAATACTAGGTCGTAGTCTTGAGTGACTGTCTGAAGAAATCTGCTGTCGGAACTCCAGTCTAATTGGACCAATGGTTGCGTTCCGCGAATCTTGTTGCTTTTCTTATAGGAGAAGCCATCTCTGGATACTCTGAAGAGGTACACGCTGCCGTTTTGGGAGCCCATCGCCACGATTTCTCCAGCTGTTCAAGAGGAATAACTTCATACGGTTGTTCCATGTAATGTATATAGTTGAGGAAGGGGAGTGTATTACTTGGATTGTAGCCTATGCATGATAGTGGCGAGCCACAGACTCTGAGGGTGGCTACAGCCGCTCCTGTGTCCGCGGCCAGGACCAGAAGGTGACCCTCGGAGGAACCTGCGGCCAGGGCGACGCCAAATGGATGGAAAGCTATGCAGATGCACTCGAAACCCACCTAAAAATGAGTGAAAATTTAAATTTGAATATTTTAAATTTGATTGGCTAAATTTAAATCTTGTATAGTTCGAATTTGATTGGCTGAATTTAAATTTTGAATGCTTTAAATTTGATTAGCTGAATTTAAATTTATAAATTTGAATATCTAGAATTTTATTAGCTGAGTTTAAATCTTGGATAGTTTGAATTTTATTGGCTGAATTTAAATTTTGGAATTTGAATATTTAAATTGGAATATTTGAAATTGAATTCGAAATAAACATTCAATAATTACCTGCGTCGTCCATAAAAGTTTATGTCTCCGCCATAGTGCAATGTTCTTATCGTGTCCAGCTGTGGCGAATACCTCGTCATCCGGATGTACAGCAAGACCCCACAGCTGTCTACCATGACCAAACACAACTAGATTGAACCTTCTCTGCAAAGATCCCTCAAGAATATTATTCCTGGTTGTTCCAACGTATATATTCCCATCGTTCCTGCCTGGTCTCTGAGGATAGATGCTCCTGACTCCTCCCACCGCTTCTGGTAACTGAAGACCAAACAACCACATTACCCATCTTCAATCTCTAATCAAAACCTCTCACATACCTTCGTATCAGTAATACGTTTATAATTCTGCAGAGAATCCCAAGCAGCTATCTTACGATCCTTCTCTCCACCAGACAGCAACGTTCCCTCAGACAACATAACTAATGAACTAATTCCCTTATTATGCGCTTCGAACTCCATTCTAACAAAATAAGCGCCATCCGCGTCCACAGAGTACACCGTAATGAAACCATCGCTGTCCGCTGTAACAACATCTCCGTCTTGCTCGAACTGGATGCTGGTCACGTGCGTACGAGATGGCTTAAAACGGAGAACAAGAGTCGATCAATTATACTAACAGCTAAAAAAGCTTATTTTACCGCGGTTTACCGGCTTGATAATGTCTGTCCTCTCGAAAAAACCATCCTTTCTTCTGTTCCAGAAAGTCAAGTGCCCTCTGCCGTGAGTTATCAACAGATTATCATCCAAAGGATGAAAGGCTGCACCAGTCAGATCCTCTTGCATAGTCTACAAGAAAAATTAATTATACAAACCTGTAAAGCCTAGTGTAGACAAGCAATGTAACGTCTGTGACGCTGTCGTTGAGGCGACAGAAAAGGAACAGACCATCCAAAGTAAAAAATAAATATTTTCATTCTATAGTAAACGTTAGTACTTTTTCTGTTCATTTGTACGTCTCCTCCTCTTATACACGAGTATGATCTGATGGCGTGTACAAAGGGGGTGGAGGAATGCTTACCGCCACTTTGCCCAATAGATGACCCCATTGCCACTGCCACACAGAGAGTATCGCCTCCCTGCCAGCGTCCACAGCTAGCACATAACTACCACCATTCTGAGTACATGTAAAAATATAGAAACATGTTTGTAAGTCGATTATATTCGTATATATACTTTGTTTAAGTATTTCGTGTCATTTTTACCAATTGCGAGAAGGCTAACGCAGAGACGCCCATCTGGAACTCAGTCATTCCGAACACGTATAGAGTGAGTAGAGTCTCTGTTGACCATATGCGAACATGCGGTTGCGCTTTTCTGTGCCTGCCCGCTTTTTGCCCAGATGCCACCAGCTCTCTGCTTGGGTGAACCTGTAACGTCAAAGGAACACGTTTTGTAATGCCCGTTCACATGCAAGAAGATGTCGTTTCTTTTATTGCGATTCAACGCTCTAGTTACATTATGCATAATACTACAATCATTACAAAAATTAAAAGTTTAGAATCATTTACGAAGCGATTCAAATTCTATCACTACCTCCATGCATGTGATGTCCTCAGTGTGACCCACATAGTGCCGTTGTGCATTTTCCTCTCTGTCGAAGAGAACAGCCACGGCAGCAACGTAGTAAAGAAGCTCTCCACTGGGTAAGACCCAAAGATTTCTTCGTGTATCGGTGCCCCGATACCCGTAAACCCATTCGAGTTGCAGTTTCTTATCCGGTGGTGAATTATCCACCGGTGGTAGGTGTGAAGGAGGGTAAAAGGAACGTCTCAGCCCTCTGATCGTCACTCTGGCTGGTTCATCCCGTAAGACTTCCACTACACTGTAATCTACATATAAAATATAATGTTTAATATTGTTGTTAATTAATGAAAAAAGAATCACGCAATATATAAAGGAAAGAATTGTATAGAGAACCGTTTACTCGGACGACATCAGAGTCAGGGGCGTACAAAGCGCGGGGTCTGCTTTTGCTACGAGCTCGTCTCTGACGACCAATGTCTTCAACCACAGTGGGTGGTCCTCGCGACCTAGATCTCCTCGCTGGAGACGCGGTAACAGCACCCGCCAAACCTATGCCCGATCCTGTGCCCAGGTAGAACGTGTCCACGTCTGCGAACTCGTTTCTCAGCTGCGAGAAACTCCTCACCTGTCGATAACACGATCATCTAATTAAGGATAAAAGAATATTTCATACTTTTTTCGTTCTTGTGTAATTTTTTGCGGTCATTGTAAACTACGTAAAAATTTGCAAAATAAAGTTAAAGATTTAAAAAACTTTTAACCTTCCTAACCCTTTTTGCAATTTTCTTTTCTTAAAGACATTCCTAACTTTAGTTTCTAAAAATATGTATTACAACAGTTTCTCCAACTTTGTTCAATGTGCCTCTGCCATTTAAAAAGGAGAAGATATATCAGAAAGAATCAGTCTCCAGTGAATATTCTAAATTTAGAGTCTAAACGAATCATAAAAGGATATGTAGGCGAGAAACGCGTGGGCGTAAAAATGAATGAACCAGGATATTTTCCCGTATTTCGTATACTGCACGTCACAATTGACGTAGACAGCGTATGTAACGATGATGCATAAGGCGGTCGAATGCTCGGTTGGAGCAAAATTGGCCAATTTGAAATTCATATACGGTCGTGACCTGGAAAAAGATGGATCTCTGACCTTTTTTCACAGGGGCCTCCGACCCACTTCCACCCTTGACAGAACGTATAATCGTGTAAAATCTGTTACAACGCTTTGGAAAATTCAAGTGAGGAGGGTGTCGCTGGAAACTACCCAAATGACACGCAATCTCGAGAATGGAATAACGAAAATGACAATAATAATAACACCTTTATCTACCATTTTTCTACACTAACAAAATTTCAATTAAAACAACTATTTAATTTAAATTTTTCTTCAAGATAAATTAATCTAATTTTTTCTCAGAATTTTATACTTTTGGTTACAGTTGTAACGCATTCTGTTACGATAGATCCTCTAAGACCATTCAAAACAGTGTTAACCAACGACCCTATTCCATTTACAAGCGAAGAAGTCGACCCCGATATTCGTCACGCTTCGTTTCAACGCTTCTGCCCCCACCAGCCGCATGCATATTTATGGACAAACATTATTCAAGCAGATTTTATAAGCCAATCTGATAAACTTTCGACTCGCCCACGTCTAGTCCGTTCACGAACATCTACGAATCGATCACTATACGTCATCCCTCTCTCCCTCCCTCTCTCTCTCACTCTCTTTCTCTCGATAATTCTTGCTTGTCCAACGTTATGGTGTTTACCTCCTGTCCAGAGACTGTGAACATCCTCTTGGCTCCGTTCATCTTCAATACCTGCCCAAGATCCTCCACAACCTCTTCGAACGGCTGTGAAGTACGTAGGTTCAACAGGACTCGACACTGGAATTAATTAGTGAGAGATGTTTGACAAATTAAAATGTTTACTATCATGTGTACATCCTTAGAATGTTAACCCTTTGGCTTGTAATAAAGAATCAAAATAAATATTTAAAATGAACGTACTTAGTGATAAAAAAGTCGCAGAACAAGTTTCTGTTTCCTTTTCGTTTTCTTTGTAATATTTTTTATTTTGAGGAATTTTATTCTATGAATTTCTAAGAAAAATATGAACGGATGATTAATAATTATAGTTACCTGCACGGTGTGATCATGGTTGTTAACGATACGTATGACGCGTCCTGAAGAAGGCTTTCCACCGCCAGGAGGTGGTGCCTCGTCGGTGATGGA